GTCACTGTAAGCAGGGTTTCACCAGTGCCCAAGTCACTGTAAGCAGGGTGTCACCAGTGCCCAGGTCACTGTAAGCAGGGTGTCACCAGTGCCCAGGTCACTGTATGCAGGGTGTCACCAGTGCCCAGGTCACTTTAAGCAGGGTGTCACCAGTGCCCAGGTCACTTTAAGCAGGGTGTCACCAGTGCCCAGGTCACTGTAAGCAGGGTGTCACCAGTACCCAGGTCACTGTAAGCAGGGTGGCACAAGTGCCCAGGTCACTGTAAGCAGGGTTTCACCAGTGCCCAGGTCACTGTAAGCAGGGTGTCACCAGTGCCTAGGTCACTGTAAGCAGGGTGTCACCAGTGCCCAGGTCACTTTAAGCAGGGTGTCACCAGTGCCCAGGTCACTGAAAGCAGGGTGTGCCCCAAGTGCCCAGGTCACTGTAAGCAGGGTTTCACCAGTGCCAGGTCACTGTAAGCAGGGTGTCACCAGTGCCCAGGTCACTGTATGCAGGGTGTCACCAGTGCTCAGGTCACTTTAAGCAGGGTGTCACCAGTGCCCAGGTCACTGTAAGCAGGGTGTCACCAGTGCCCAGGTCACTGTAAGCAGGGTGTCACCAGTGCCCAGGTCACTGTAAGCAGGGTGTCACCAGTGCCCAGGTCACTGTAAGCAGGGTGTCACAAGTGCCCAAGTCACTGTAAGCAGTGTGTCACCAGTACCCAAGTCACTGTAAGCAGGGTGTCACCAGTGCCCAAGTCACTGTAAGCAGGGTGTCACCAGTGCCCAGGTCACTGTAAGCAGGGTGTCACCAGTGCCCAGGTCACTTTAAGCAGGGTGTCACCAGAGCCCAGGTCACTGTAAGCGGGGTTGTCACCAGTGCCAGGTCACTGTAAGAGGGTGTTCATCAGTGCCCAGGTCACTGTAAGCAGTGTGTCACCAGTGCCCAGGTCACTGTAATCAGGGTGTCACCAGTGCCCAGGTCACTGTAAGCAGGGTGTCACCAGTGCCCAGGTCACTGTAAGCAGGGTGTCACCAGTGCCTAGGTCACTGTAAGCAGGGTGTCACCAGTGCCCAGGTCACTGTAAGCAGGGCGTCACCATTGCCCAAGTCACTGTAAGCAGGGTGTCACCAGTGCCCAGGTCACTGTAAGCAGGGCGTCACCAGTGCCCAAGTCACTGTAAGCAGGGTGTCACCAGTGCCCAAGTCACTGTAAGCAGGGTGTCACCAGTGCCCAGGTCACTGTAAGCAGGGTGTCACCAGTGCCCAAAGGGCCACTGTAAGCAGGGTGTCACCAGTTCTCAGGTCACTGTAAGCAGGGTGTCACCAGTGCCCAAGTCACTGTAAGCAGGGTGTCACCAGTGCCCAGGTCACTGTAAGCAGGGTGTCACCAGTGCCCAGGTCACTGTAAGTAGGGTGTTATCAGTGCCCAGGTCACTGTAAGTAGGGTGTTATCAGTGCCCAGGTCACTGTAAGCAGGGTGTCACCAGTGCCCAAGTCACTGTAATCAGGGTGTCACCAGTGCCCAGGTCACTGTAAGCAGGGTGTCACCAGTGCCCAGGTCACTGTAAGCAGGGTGTCACCAGTGCCTAGGTCACTGTAAGCAGGGTGACACCAGTGCCCAGGTCACTGTAAGCAGGGTGTCACCAGTGCCCAGGTCACTGTAAGCAGGGTGTCACCAGTGCCCAGGCCACTATAAGCAGGGTGTCACCAGTGCCCAAGTCACTGTAAGACTACTCAGGATGGGAATTTAACCATAGCGAATGAATTTACAGGTTATTTACATATATGCAAATATGGTCGTGCAATATGTGTGTGTGTGTGTGTGTGTGTGTGTGTGTGTGTGTGTGTGTGTGTGTGTGTGTGTGTGTGTGTGTGTGTGTGTGTGTTAGCTAGAGACAAAACATTAGAAATAGTCTTCTATCCTTTATACAAGAAATCACAATGCTTCGCGTAATAACTGTCAATTTAAGATCTTCGACTCTTGGAGCACTGATGGAGACAAGGGAAGCCTTCTCTCCGTTATAATGTAAACAAATGTGATATGCGCTTCCCCGAATACATGTGCTGAACCGACTCACTATTATCCAGTTAGATATTATCCTCCAGTAAACGTGGGTTTATCAAAGACGCTCCGCATACGCAATATCCAACCACATTCCTCCTCAGTATGTTTTGAGATTCTGACGCTAGTACTGAGAGAAGGTGTAGACTCTATTTAGGAAGCACTTCTCATATTACACACTGCTTGGAAATACACAGGCACCAGTGTCTTCGTATTTTTCTGAAAAGCATTTATATTTTGGTGTGTGTGTGTGTGTACTGAGAATAACTGTACATGTACGTGTGCATCGTGGTATATACTCCGGCAAGGAAGGTATATACTCCGCGGTATACTCCGGGAAGGGAGGTATGTACTCCGCGGTATATACTCCGGCAAGGGAGGTATACACTCCGCGGTATATACTCCGGCAAGGGAGGTATGTACTCCGCGGTATATACTCCGGCAAGGAGGTATATACACCGCGGTATATACTCCGGCAAGGGAGGTATATCCTCCGCGGTGTATACCCCGGCACGGGAGACGTGAGCGTACGGACCCGCCTCTTTTCCTTACAGTTACATATATATACTCTTAATATTTACTTTAATCCTGATAAAAGGAGTCAAGAAGTCTTAGGTGACATGCAGCTTAAATAACACTCGAGTACTCTATAGATTTTTAAACCATCGCTAGTTAAAAGGGAACACCAGGCAGCTTAGTAAACAATCTTCCCTTGATACGATAACATTGTGTCCGTGACAGATAATCCGTCCATAGGAGAAGGAGCTTACGAAGACGTTTTGGACCGACTTGTACCAGTCAAGGTATTGCGTCTTTTTTTCTACTTTCCCAAACCATATTTAAAAAAAAATAACAGACGAAAAAACATATTGAAAAATAACTGTTTGCTGTCTCATTGAAATTTCGTTATTAACAGAATAAACTTTACAGAAAAATACACACATTTGCACGTTTTAGCTCTAAGTGGAGCTTCTTAGAACAAAACGTTGTGACAATAATGGTTTTTTTTCCCTGCATGCTTATGTCCGTGGGCACAAGTCTGTGCTACGCCGTTCAAATCAGAAAACACCATAAATATACCAAGCATATCTTGCCAAAGGGTTTCCAGTTAATGAAGTTTGACGAACAGTATATGAAAGATTAATTTTCCTGGAATATAATGGAAACAGCCTCGTTCGTTTTCCCCGTTCCAAAAAAAGGTCATAGTACATAGAACATTGTGACCACTTAGTAAGTGGCTCTCGCAGAGAGAACCACTTAAATGTCTAGCACCGTTTCAGTCACGCACTGAACGTTTCTTACAAGTTAATATAAGAAATTCTTTATATATATATATAGTGGTCACAATGTTCTATGTACAAGGAGACACTACCAGATGGGTACTCGCTCTTTTCGAACCCTCATGAAAAACTATGAATCTCAATATACTTCATCACCCCAGCAACCTCATACTCGTTGTTTAGTTTCCTTTCCCTTTACTAATAACCACATTCGTTACCTAGCTGCCCTTCCCTCCCCAACAACGTCACACTCGCTAACTAGCTCCATTTCCCTTCTTTAAAAACCTCACAATCGTTACCTAACCTCGCTTAATTTCCTCAACTGCTTCACACGTTACCTAGTTCCTGCAATCGCTTTTCTTAGAATTAGGAGCTCCGATCATAAGGTATAACTGAATATGAAGAGGAGAGTGAGAGTCCCTACGTGACTACAATATTAGTGGGCAGCTTGGGTAATAAGCACGCTATTACTCCGCCCTTCGTGATGGGTGAGGTGGGTGGGTACGGTGAGTGCACCGTGGATGAGGTGGGAATGATGTAGACACCGTGGGTTAGGTTAGCACCATGTAGGTGAGGCTGTCGCTGTGTGGGTACTGTGCGGTGGGCATAATGTTGGTAAAGTGGGCATTATGGGTGAAGTGGGCACTGTGAAACTATAATTTAAAGCCCATTCCCCATACCCCTGATGGCTGTAGAAATCTCATACACGCTGTGTGTTACCGCAGACCTGCCGCCCTGTGCCACCCACACCGTTTACCATGATAATTTACCCCTTAACACTCGATTTAACGAAGGCAACAATTACTCCGGGGTCTCGCTTGTCAACATTTGAGGGAGGCTTGTAATCAGAGTCGCCATAGCCACTTTTGACCCGTTATCGCATGCATGACCATGTTATTTGTAGCGATAACTGTCGTATAACTTATGGGGGGGTGCCAGAAAGCACAGCTCCAAGCTCGAACCACCGTCTCCCCGGTCAGAGTGCACAGATGTTTCCTCTCAACATAACTATTTAGCTCAAAAATAATTATTGGAAATTACTGGTCTCTGCTGAGGTTGCATCATTACCTCTGGTCCTGCGGGACCACTTTGAGGAGACAGAGTCCCATGCACAGCCTTCATCTTCTCTTGGCATTTGTTTGCGGGATCAAGTGTACTTCACATAATCCCTCAGTATCAGCATGTAATTGTAACAGGGGTAATTAGGTACATGAACGTTCGTGCTACAGACACTGTCTTTGATACATCTAAAGGCTGGTCAAGCCTCACCACAGTGGTGTATCCCATCCCAAGATAGCCTTTTTTTTCTTCCTAGCAAAAATTATATTTTTGTCATAATATACTCATTTGATATTCAATTATAGTGAAAAAAATAGTTGCAAGCTCTCAATATTGGCATATCTTCGTAGGAAGCTGTAAGTGGTATTTTTTGCAAGTACAACATATCTGACAGATTGCATCATGAAGTGCAGTCACGACTGCGATCGAATTCCTAACAAGAAAAAATGGCTTATAGAGAAGAAATATACACAGCACTTGCGGTCAAGGAGTAAAAAGAAGCATTTGCTTAAGTTTACAAATACAGCCATCCGTGAATACAGTGCGCATTCCAGCTTTGAACACCGAGCCGCGGGTCACTACGAACGCCACCATGTAAACAAAGTGAGATTGCTTACGTCTTGGAAGTCGGAGATCTCTGAACTCATGTTGGCGGCGTACAGTGGAAGACGAATTAGTAACTCCAATGTGTAGCGACGTTCCCAGGCACACACAACTCTAAACAACACTCGGCTAAGAGTCGCGCTAGGCCACCAACTAGGGCCACACTAAGAGGTGACAGTTGGTAACCACGCTAGCCATCACGTTTTCCATCTATGCACACACACAATGTGGGGTAGACTGAGGTAATTATGATCTCGAACATATCATCTCTTGCACCAACACGTGGGAAGGACAAAAAATAAACAAATCTCCAAGTGGTAATCTTGTGTAATGGCACCAATATCACAGTCACGACACTTTTTGGATTTGCAACAAGAGCACTGTTGCTGGCACTGTTGTAGGCACTAGGCAGTCGAGGCTGAGATCACATGAAGTCTCGTCAAGTGAAGATAATTCCACAAAAAAGCGATACCCGGACACCATTAATCGATGACACTAGTTTCCTGGGGAGATACTCCAGGCTGAGATGAGAGACTCAGCTGAGGTGGTCTGGGCGGTGGTGTCTCAGTGCCGTGACTTTGCGCAGTGACGGGGGGGCGAGAGTGGGAGACCCGCGCTGCTCGTGTGGCCCTGTGGGTGGCTTGGTTGTCGAAGTCACCGCCCAACAACCTCACGCCCTCGTTACCGCTCGCCCTCTTCCCTCACGTCCGCCAGTTTTCTCCCACTTTTAGAACGGCTCGGTATAAGTGCATATGCGAGGAGAAAAAATCCCAGCAAATATTAGTTCTTAGGGAAAAATAAAGTCGGCGCAAAGAAGCCGTCGACAACCTCATGGCGAGGCCCGGCCCCCTTGCATGAGCCCCGCCCAGCCAGGTGAGCTCAAGCTAACGAGAACTGGAGCACCTGAGCTGCAGACACACGCGTTGCCTGCTCGCACACCCGTCCCGCTCTACCTGACCAACACACCTGAGGCTTCTTCTCTTACCCCTTTATACTCTCCTTTTTGGGGGAAACTTTAGCTCAATGGTATAAGAGTACCGTGTGGTCCCTCTGACGATCTAAACACAAAAAATGTTCTTCAAACGTCAGTTAAGAAACTTAACACACTATCTGTATAACTTGTAACACTTAAGAAATGTTTACTGTTGTTTTATGTGCATATAACTGTATGCCTTCTGCTGCACCAAGAGTCGTTTTCTTCCTGGAAATTATGACATATACCACTCAATTATTGTCTCTTATAGTGCAAGTGTTAATTATTAATTGGTGGAACGTTTGGCATCGACGTCGCTATCTACACGACCTACAAAACCTATAAAATGAACGTGATAACAACTTGATAGTTTTCGCTTTCTTCTTCTGCATAACCTCAAGTTTGAGGGAGCAAGTTCATGGAGTGGGCGTGTCTGAAACGGTGCGGGAGGCGTGGTTAGTGTGGTGGGCCCCACCCCTTAGCTAGCCAGAGAGGTGAGGAGACTCTCACCACGCCTGCAGGATCTGGGGCAGTGTGGCGTGTGGAACTTGACTCCTCCCACTTTACGCTAACTTAATACGCCTTTTATCAACAAATGCACTCACTAGCTCTGATTTCTAGATGCTTAAGGACTCATTGTAGCTGGTATGCTTACGTGTTAGCAAAGCTATGTATTGCCTCGACGGTTAGCGAAAAGGACTTTCCGAAGAGCCAGATCCTGGAGCTCATCACCACGAAATACAAAGCAGCGCTGAGCAGCTGCAATTAAGTGCTGGCGGCCTGAAGGAGTCTGTGAACTGAAAGGACAGCCTTGGTCTACTTGGAGAGAGCGTGCATTTAAACCAGAGGCTCGGCCATTAACGCTGTTTTATTGCCGTCTAGCCGCGAGATATAAATCTATCAACATAAACCTCAACCCGTTGTATCTTAACATCGCCAAGTTAACTTAAAATCTGTATGACGGACACAATAACTTATCGAAACTCTTTTCACTTTCTTTTTCTTCTGTGTTGCGTCCTCCTTGACATGTATACAAATCAGGGAGCATTATGAAGCAGTTCCCGTAGGGTTATGATAATGTATAAGTCTGCATGCAGCCTTTATACATCTGAAACAGAAAGAGATCTAGCTTATTATTTGAGACCTAAACAATAACTGAAAAGAGCTGAATCTACTTGCTCAGAATTCTGGGACCTACGAGTAACAAATAGGTCGGTAAAGAACAAGAAATGCACAATACTGTGACTTGAACAATACACAAATAAAAGTGTGACTTTGTACATGGTTCAAGACAGACCGAAACGTCGTCGTAATCTTCTCTCTTCTATGCGCGAGTTATGTGTATAACTCCTAGGTCAGGAAGACCTTGGTATGAAACTGGTTAGTTTCAATCCTGGAATGGGGCTTTTAAGCTTGGGAATCTTGAAAGTTTAGGTTCACTAGTAATAGCACTGCAAATTCAGTCTATAATTCCTAGGGAGAAGAGTACTTGGGCATCCCCTCAAGAACTGGTTGTCACTGATCTGGTTCAGGTTCTAAATTACGTAGTTCTGAAAAGTCTGCCTTTCTTCACCTCGGCCTTTCTCGTGAGAATGTAGTGTTGTCAGCGTCGTTAAATGTAATTCCATCTAGTCTTCTGAGTCTCAGCAGCTGTTTCCAGCAGGTCGTTAATAGCATCCCGTGATGAGTCAGCTATTGATCTGACTTTCGAGCTATCCCCTAGCCTCACCCTGCCAATAGGTCCCCTAGCCTCACCCTGCCAATAGGTCCCCTAGCCTCACCTTGCCAATAGGACGCCTGGCCTCAGTCTCACCTACTTGTGTCTTAGCTAGTTATCTCAACAGCTAGAAAATCTCTAATCTATACAAGTCATGTGAACCTGGTCAGGTAATCGTACTCGGTCGTGAGAGTTGTGCATATTAGCCTTCCTACGGTATATTTTTCCTCAGTTCAAGAAAGCTTTGTTCATTTATTTCATCAACGTTTTAAAATGTTTAATATTATCTTACACTATTTGCCTCAGTCAAAAATCGTACTGTATTGGTTACACTGTAAATTTCTAATCTCTAACAGTCTCCCATAAATCATTAACTGGTCTCTGGTTTCTTCTACTGATCTCTGGTTTCTGCTACCGGTCTCTTGGAGTCTTCGGCGAGAACCATATCAGCGCTGCTCCCTCTATTTACCCTTGACCCATCTCCACCGCTGATGTTGTCGGACACTTGTTGGAAGTCTTATCAGGCGGCCCGAGTCAGTTCGTGAGACCCCTCGACCAACACAAGACTCTAATCATTTTGTACGCTTGTTCAGTCTGTCTCGGTCACCCGAGCTTCTGATGTTAACTGCAGCGTCATGCAACTACATCACTCGCTAGGAGAACAAAGAACCTTAATGATGGATTGTACCACAATGATCACCTCACGGTGGGAAGCGTGGCAGAACCAGCGGACATGTTTGTAAACAGACGAGGCTGACGGCAGCCATTTTTCCCCCTGGTTAGCAACGAACACGTACTGTCACAGTTAATAGGGTTATCAAACCTTTGTGCCTTGGGTAGCACTGAAAATAGGTTGGACTAATATTTTTGTTAGTTTGGGTTTTAGAAAGAGTTGCCTGATATGGGCTAGTAGGCCTGCTTCAGTGTTCCTCCTTTCTTATGTCCTTATGAAAAAAACCTTAATTTTTAAGGTCAGAGGTGAAACGAGGCTGTTAGTAAATTAAAAGAATCCCTGTGGTCCGTATTATATTTGGATCATAATTTTTATAAATGTTGTATATTAGCTGAATGCTTTGAGTCTAAATAATTATTTTTAACTAGTGTTCTAGGTGCTGTTTTGTGGCTTCTGATACTGTTGTTTGAAATGCTGTACACACTTGATCTTTCAAATTATTGTGTAAATCTGTACATCAATTTGAAATAAAATTATTATTATTATTAATATTATTATTATTATTATTATTATTATTATTATTATTAATTTTCTTAAATATTACATTTTATCTTTGTCAGCTCGTGTTAATCCTTATCTCGTATTCTAACACGCTAATTCAACGTCTCTGTTAACTTACGTTCTGTGTTCAGTTTTGTTCTTGAATACAAACGCGTGTTCTTTGTGATATCTCATGCTTCTTTGCGTTATTTTATTTTCTTCACGCGTACACTCGGGTTCTTGTACTTGTCTCTTCTTGTACGTCGTCTTGCATTTTTAACTCGCTTTCTTTTGTTTTCATCTCGCGTTCTCGTCGTTTCTTAGTGTTCATCTCCAGCATCATCACCGTCGTTATCCCTATTGCCATCATTACTGTCAACGCCGTGGAAAGGATGAAAATGAAGAGTTTAAGAATGATTCAGAAAATTGTACCTTGTGATGGGTTCCACAGGTTCAACAGTGACTTTGTATACTCGCGATGCACTGAAGCTGATGGAAGTGATGAACTCACTTTCAGGGCTGTACAGAAACACTTCATTACAAGGACCTCTCAATACAAAGGGAGACTCTTAGATCATGGAAAAGATGGGTACTCAGATTTCTGAAAAAGTCAGGTGAAAAAGATTGTCAGGGAAGTCAAAAATCTCTAGAGATGTCAGCTTTCCTGTCCAGATATTCATTGTGGCAGTCATAAGAGGAAATACTTCTTGTGCATCTGAGCACTTGACCTAGCTTAGGGTAAATGGGCGAGAATTTCGGAATAATGTTACACCGTCACACATATTAACCTCAATACCTTGATATATATATATATATATATATATATATATATATATATATTTATATATATATATATATATATATATATATATATATATATTGTGTGAGTGTGGTGGAGGTACCACCTCTAGAACTGTCCTAGGGACCCTCGTCCTCAGAGAAAAGAATAAACTTGCTTCAGGGAAAACTCAAGGTTCTCCCTGAAGCTGTTCGAGAATTTTCTCCTACCTCCCCCTATATTTCAAGTATGTTTTATTTAAAGACAAAATACATTGGCCAAACATTCACAAAAATACAACAGAAAGTAAAACTACATAGGTAACTCAGAGCTACATCTCGAATACTTCGTCCAGCTCCCCTGCGGTGGGCCGCGTGCCCAGAATGCTGCAGGCATTTCCTCTCTGGATCGCAGCACTGAGTCTCTGAAAGAGGAAGCTGGTCTCCCTGTGATCCTTGGTTTCTATGATGAGCTTTTCACCCAGCTCTTTGAGGAACTTTAGAGCACACTTGCCCCATGCTCCAAGGGTCTCCGACCCTATTGGAATGAAGTTATAGCAAGGAGGAAGGTCTTCATATATTCGGATCTTCTGGGTCTCCCTTTTGGCTGGCAGCTCCACCCCCTTCCACTACGGAGTATGGCAAGTAGGTGTCTGCCAATGTGGTGGCACAGGTGTAGTCCCAGGCAATCTGCTTTCCATCTTTCTACGGTAGCATAGTGGCTCCATCAGGACGCTTTTGACTTCCATCAGTTCTCTGTACTTGGGGCTCCCGTTGAGCTGGGCAACGGGCTGTGGCGAGGCTTCTCTTTATGATGTCATTGACCTCCTCATGTCTGCCGAATAAGGCAAGGGAAAATTTGTGTATGCAATAATTTCGCAAAAATCATTCTGAACCTAATGAAAAA